ATAAACATAAGGAAAAATTGGTCCCATAAATTGGTTACTTCTGAATTTGGTGATGTGACATACATATACAACAATATAGCAAAACAGAGCAGAATCCTTACCTTTGTGGTGATTCGCACCAGATGCTAATTTCCCCCACAGTGTTACAACAAATATTATTATTAGCAGTTTTTCTTTTGTTGCTTTCTGTAAATATCTCTTATTCATCCTGAAAATAAAAATACAGAAAAATAAGTATTTCTTTTAAAATCTTTTTTTCTTAATTTTAAGGGAATACAGTATTTTTGAAAACTACCTGCTGACACCCCCTAAACCTTGATTTCTGCTTAGCTCCAAGTAATGTGTGCCACGTACAGCACCAGTTTCACCCCTTTCCCTGAACTATCTACATTCCTTCGCACTCTAAATCAGTACCTAGAGTATTTAATATCTCCATGCATCAAGTTTCTACTAGGGTGCAAGCAATGTCCATACCCACAGCAGTCTGCAAAGAAACACAGCAATAAAAAAGGTTGTCAGAGAGGAAGCATCTGTACAGGTATATAGCAGGGTTTGCTGCTCCACTAGTGTATCCAGCACCAGCCATGGTCACTGTGGTCCTCCTTTATTCCATGCAGTAGAGTTTTTAGCTTTGGGGATTGCAACTCTTTTTTCGGATTCTAGCCACATGACAGAATGAGATGATGGATTTGAATAGACCTCTAGCACATGTACCAACCAATCCACAAGCAAGATCCTGCTAGGGAGATATGAGTCGTGTGGAAATGACCTCAAACAGAACAGATTCGCAAGTCCCTCTCCTACCTATCCAAAAGGTGATGAAAAGATTTGATTTACTGCATCAAGGGAAATTGCACTCAGCTCTCATCTTGCTCAGTGATGTTTTCACTGTGTCACCAAACCACCATGAAGGTAACATGGATTATTTCTCAGTAACCTCCTTCAAAGACAAAATGCCTCTCTACTTGCCAAAAAGATAAGTTCAGGAACAGAGGCTCTAGTGCTTAAGGATTACAGTTCTGCAGAGGGTGACAAGAGGTAATACATATAATTCTCTATAGAAGTGCCCTAGGGAGCTGGCTAAGAAACCGTTCTGCACGATGGTCACATTTCTGCTGATAGGTCAATAGGATAGTGATGACTATTCCACATCACTTACACTAAAAAAGCTGTAAACTTTTTTTGATCATTTGAATTATTGCTATTTTACAATGCCTGAAGCTATGCTGCCTTCTCCTGAGCAGAAAAAAAAAAAAGTTGGGAAAATTACACATTTTGCTCCTATTATATTCATAAGAAGCCAGAAATAATTAAAAGAGTACCTCTTTTTCTCTCTTTTGCTCCATTCATGTATGACACTATCTGGGACAACCACAAACTCTGTGTAAAGGCAGCCTGTGCTATAAATGCAGAATAAACCCCAAGTCTGTCTCAAATCTCTTTTCATTCCTTCAGAGCAATTCCTTTCCTTTGAGCAAAATAATTTCTAAGGCACCCTGGTGAAGCCCCATCCAAGACTCATGATCAGGCCGCTTGCCCCAAAATCAGCCATTTCACTGTGCAGGAGATGGATGTGAGCTTGTTAAACACTGGTGAGATTCCACTCCAGGCTGTGTGCAATGTGACTCAAATTAGCAGCTTACTGAGGAGTGTACCAAATCACGTAACATTTGACTTTAGAGCAAACAGAATTCAGTGTACTTTGACAGAAGTGTTTTCCAGAGGTTCATATATCACAGTTATCAGGGAAAAAATAGAGAGGAGTAAGCAAGTGCTATACGCGGGCTTGTGGATGTGTCCCTGAAAGTCTGACTGATTAATAATCACCACAGAGGTCACAGTGCTCTATGAACCATATCGAGTCATGCCTTCTTGCACTATGATTCTAGTTCCTTTAGTGTAAACTGTATATTCATCACCAACCCCAGGGTTATGAAGTACTCAAAGCTAAAAGGAAGTATGTTATTTGTCATTGCAAATAAGAACAACAACAAAAAAAAATGAAGTGCACATTCAACATATGTTGTTTCACTGCCATCTCTGTGAATAGGATATGACTTAACTCTTTCACTCCCAGATTCTTTTAATACACCTGTTTTGATGCTGTTGCCAAGTCATTTCTCATTAAAATCCAGTCCAGTTCCTCATGTACCCATCGCTACTCAAATCCAGGGGGACCTGCACCATTAAGCAAAGTGGGCTCTAACACATTTCCTTGCTGCACTCTCTGCTGTTGCCAGATTCATTTGTCCTGCCACGAGACTGGCTGCAAAGCCAAAGCAGAAAATGCAAACATGCAAGGAAAGAACAGTTGCAGCAGGAGCAAAGAGGAAAAGGCAGCCTATCTGCGTGTGAACAGCAGCCCCTCTGTGAAGAGGCAGAGGAAGGAGAGACCTCTGCCCACAGCCCGGCACCAAGTAGCAGCGAGCCTCTACAGCCAGTCCTCTACAGCACTGTGCAGAAAAGGATGGGTTTCAGCTTCAACACAGCAAATCCAGGACCATTGCTGCTGCCAGATTTTCCAGCCCTGAAAAAAAAATCCATCTCTTTTTCTTCACCGCAAACCCATTGCAGTATTCTGCATTCCTTATTCATTCAATTTACCTTTAGAAGAACATAAATCATAACTTTGTCTCCTAGGTGTCCCCTAATAGGCACAATCGGGCAGGCTAACAGAAAAGTCAGTGCAGACAGCAGTTCTAGGCTGGGCCTGAGAGGCCATCAGCAGAAGTACAAAAACGACCTCTCTGCGGTTAGACCGCTCACAGCATGCAGCAGCAAGAACTAGAGGAAAATGGGAGATGATGGCAAAATTTCAAGGCCAGCACAGCACCAGCCTCGAGGTGGTGCATGTTGGCCATTCACAACGCTTGCTCCAGGCTCAGGTGGGCACTACAGGAGCACAGAGCAGGTATGAAGCTCCTCAGAAAAGGCGGATTGCTTCTGGCAGTGCTGGTACATGACGAGAAGCCACAGTGCAGCATCACAGACATGGAAATAAAAAATGACAGATCTGTGGTCTGAGAGACTTAAGGGGGTGAAGCAGATTCGTGTCAAAAGCAAAGCAGGCAACAAGGTAGATTGAGAACCACAGACCCAATAAGAAGTGCCAGAAAAACACTGAAGTTTTGAGATACCAGTATCCAAGTGTGTGCATTACCATCCAGACTTCCAGAGTGTGCTGCTGATAATTTTCTGTGAATTTCCAAAACAGCCCAAGAGATAGCATGCAGAAGGCACTGAAACTCCAAAGCATTTGACCTCAGCTTTGAAATGTAACTATTAGCCTACTGCAACCCTGACCCATGCCAGGTAAGTGGATCCAGGAAATTTAGTTCATTACCAGTGCTCCTCTGTGTCAGACTGTTATTACACTAACATAACAGGGTAGGTTAAATAGAAGAAATGAGGTCTGAAATGAGGTCTGCTTTCCCTAGAGGTGATGCAGAGCAGCACAGACTGACTATGGCTATTAACCTGAATGGCTTTCCCTGTGAGACATCTTCCTGCCCTACCTTTCTTCAAAACCTTCCCATCACTATGATCCTTAAGGCCTTAAATAATGCCACATAAGACCAAAGCTGAGAACGGCCGTGCTATAGGACGTTTACATCTGAAAATGAATCTTAAATTTTATGTGTCTGTTTCTAACCCACAAATATTGGAAATAAACTAAGCAAATTCTCAGCATTTTCACTCAAACAAGTAAATGAGAGACAGTCATGTCTGTGTGGAGAGGCAAGGAAAAAGAAAGGTAGCTTCTTTTGTGGGTTTGGGCACACATTCAAAATGAAACCAAAGACATGACACCAGCATAATCGAAGCAGCCAGCAGCTGAGTGAGATGACTGCACTGCGACTGGCGCTTCACTTCTACCATCACACAGGGAATCGCTCCAGAATATTCCTTTCTGCTAATGTGTACTCCACAAGCCCATCACAGGCTACACTGCTTTAGAGATTAAAGACAAAAATAGCTTAAAAAAAAAAACCTGCAGGATTTGTTCTCAGGGTGAAAATGCATGTGACGCTGCAGAGAAGCTTCG